AGATCCACAGAGACCCACAGAGATCCACAGAGACCCACAGAGATCCACAGAGACCCACAGAGATCCACAGAGACCCACAGAAATCCACAGAGACCCACAGCATCACAGAACAAAGAGAGAAAGGTTTATTTGTGATGGAAACACAGATTCTTCCTGGTTTCTGCCTGGTTTCTTCCTGGTTTCTGCCTGGTTTCTTCCTGGTTTCTTCCTGGTTTCTGCCTGGTTTCTTCCTGGTTTCTGCCTGGTTTCTGCGTGGTGTAGCAGCCGTCTGTTTCCTCTGTGGTTCTGCGGAGCATGAATCAGCCGGGCCGGTCGGAGGAAGGCGCTCGGATTGTTTCCCCCTCACTCGATAGTGCCGACCCCCCAGGACTCGACCTTTGCGCGCAGCGTGAGGCGCCGCGGCTGCTCAATACAAGGTGTCGACGAGGTCGAGACAGACGACCTTTCTGTTTTAACCCCCATCAAGCTGAAAGTCGATGGCAGGTCATCCACATCCTGCAGCTGTGAGGAAAATATCAGTGGGAATAAAGAAAAGCTGCTGTTGGCTCTGATCGGATGGAGGAGACATAAATACATCCATCTCCTTCATCGGATCTAGAGGTTAGGCCTAACCCAGACCCCACCATGCTAATGCTAAGCTAACGGCTCCTGAAGGATTCCCATCACATCAAATGTTTTCTGTAATTCTTCAGAATTTGTAGTTTTTCAGCAGCAGCAGATTTTATACAAACTTTAGTTTTATCTTTATTTCTGTATGTTTGGAGTCAGAGTGATTCTGTTGGAGTCTCCCTGAAGCTAAGCTAACATTTCAGTAAATCTTCATGTTGAGAGAGAAGCTGGTGAACATGAAGGTTTGGCTGGTTTCAGATTCTCAGGCCGTCTGGATTCCTCAAAGACAAGAAAGCAGCTGATGTTTACCAGATACCTGAACCTCCTCCTGTCAGCCGGAGAGTCTGGAGCTGAGACAGAAATTATTGTGATGAACAATTAACTAAAAGTATAAAAATGTTATAACACTGTAAGTTCACAAAGGTCAGTGATTCATTTTTAAACAACTTTTCACTCTGGAACTGGACGACGTTTTAAACATCAGGAATAAACAACAAAGTGGATTTTGAACAAGCTAATGCCTCGTTAGCGGCGAAGCTAACTGCAGCTCGTTAGCGGTGAAGCTAACGGCGGCTCGTTAGCGTTGAAGCTAACGGCGGCTCGTTAGCGGTGAAGCTAACGGCGGCTCGTTAGCGGTGAAGCTAGCTGTCTTAGCGTCTCGGTGGATTGCCCTCCTCTGTGTCGTCGGAGCGTCGGTCCAGACCTGCAGCAGTTTGCCATGTTTAGCTGCTGCTGTTTCATCCCACCAGGTCCAGAGGTCAAAGTTCACCATTCAGCTTGAATCCAAAGTTGCTTTGTGTGCCGTGTTTCAGGTTCAGCTGATCGGTGGAGAAGCGTCGCCTTGTCTTGGTAGAAACATGAAAAACAAACGTGCAGCTAGAAATGATCGAGGATATTTTAATTGTGTGATTTATTGATTTATTGGTGTTTTCCTGAGAAGACATCAGACTTTTGCTGGATTATTATGCAGGAAGGAATTATTGAGAGGAAACCTTTATTATTTTAGACATGAAATAATGATGTCACCAGGAAGCAGATAAAACTAACAAAGTTAAAGCGAAAAAACTTTGCTGAGTTTCAGATTCACTGCTGTACCAGAAACACCGACTGGAACATTTATATGTTAAAAAAAACTGAATAATTTCATTAGAATATGCAATTAATTAGTGAAAGTCCTGATGCGATTTGATTGGTCGAGCAGGAAGTGTGTGGTTCTGATTGGTCGGCTCCGTCAGCGCTTCGCTAACTGGACTTCTTCTGGTTCAGGATGAGAGGAGAAACCAGAGAAGACCAGTTAGCTCTACTGAAGGTTTGGGTTAGAAATTAAACGATTAATCAGTTATTGAAATAATAATCAACTAATTTAGTAATTGATTAATCGCTAACTGGAACTGACTGAAAAAAAGATGATTTGATGAAAGAACAGAATAAAAAGATTTTCTCATTTTGATGTTTTAACGTTTTTTAGCTTCAGATGATGAAACATTGACTAAAATAATCCTTTTATGCATCAAAAGGTTTTCTTATTTAAAAAGGAATTATTTGTTTATTTGCTTCTTTTAATGTTTTTCTAATATTGAATAAAATCATTTTCAGAGGCTAAATGAGCAGAATGTGGCCATTTTTATTTGATTAATCTGATTAATCATCAGAATAATTGATTACTAAAATAATTGTTGCAGCCCTGGTCTTGCTTCCTCTCAGCTCTCAGAAACTTCCTGACTGTAGAGGTCAGAGGTCATCCTGTTTCTGTGCGAGGGTCATGTCCGAGAGTTTTAGGTATGAGGTTGTTTTACAATGCATCATGGGAAGAATAAAACCCACATATCTGTGTGTGTGTGTGTGTGTGTGTGTGTGTGTGTGTGTGTGTGTGAGCGGCTGTCAGACCTGCAGCGCTGCAGGAGTTTCTCGTTCCTCCAGAAAGGAAAGCATGGTGGGGGAAGACGACCTAATTTCATCTAAAGGGAAAAGAAAGTCAGCAGAAAACCTCAGAGCTTATGTAACTGCCCCTCCCCACCCCCACTGGGGGGGCAGAGGGGCAGATAGAGGGGGGCAGGTAGAGGAGGGACGAACAGATGGAGAGTGATGAAGGAAACTTTTTCTGTTGTGTGGTCCGGCTGTGTGTGTGCGTGTGGCACAGATACACACCTGTATTATTTAAAACTACTCGGAAAGCCTGATGGAAGGTTTTCCCAGAACTCCAGCCGGAGCTTCATGGGGATATTAGCGGCCGACACGTGGGCCGGATCCAGCAGAGTCACGCTGCAGCTGCAGCGGCGCTAACGCAGCCTGAATAATGCATGCAGCGGCGCATGGTCTCCAGGTTCACACGCCCTGATCCGACAGCTGTGGACCCGGAACCGGGAAGCTTCTGTTTTCAGTCAGTATCCGCTGGAAAGCTGATCAGACTCCTGCAGCCGTCGGGATGAGCTCCACTCCGCCTCGTTATGTAAACTCGTTAGGCTCCGCCTCACTGAGCTGCACACATGCTAACCAGTGATTAGCCTCAGCCTGTCGGTAGCGGCTCCTCTCACCTTTAACTAGCCATCTCCACGCTAACAGATGGGCTCAGGGTTGCATAACAAGGAGAAAACGTGGATGCTGAAACGATTAATCGCGACTAATCAATTACTGAAATAATCATTAACTGGAGGATACAGAATCTAAAAAAGGACATTTGTTGAAAGAACAGCAGAGCATAAATAAAGCCATAACTGTAGAGAAATATAAATATTTTACCTTTAAGATGAAAAATAAATCTGTTCTTTCCAAAACTCACCCCACTGTTTTAGCTTCACCTGGTTCTGAACAAATCTCCAATTAATCACCTTCCAGTTACTAATCAGTTCATTCATAAGTTAATCCCCAGATCAGAGCGACACGCTGTTGATGTTCATCAGAAAGTTTGAGCTTCAGCTGCTATTGAAATTAAATATTTATTTTCTTATCTAAAAGGGAATAAAATCATCGTTTAGTAGCATTTTGATGTATTTCTATTGTTTAAAAACACGTAAGTGGCTAAATAAAAAAATCTGCACAATGTAAAAATTTACCGATTAATCACCAGAATGATCAATTAAAACGTCACAATGATGGATTAATCGTCAGTTTCTCTTCTTCTCTCTGATTGGCTGAATGAATCCTTTCTTCGCTCGTCTCCACAGCTGGTCATTCTCATTCTGCTCCGGTCGGAAAACCAGGAAATCTGAGCCTGACAGGAGGAGAACCGGAATAAATGTTGATTTTTAATAAATAGAGGAATTATTCTGAATCATTTATGATGATTTATGAAACAAAACAATCATCATTAGTTCAGGAAGAGAAAGATGGAGACACTGCAAGTTTCATGTCTGATTCATGTTTCTGCTGTTAGCCTGTGTGTGTGTGTGTGTGTGTGTGTGTGTGTCAGGTTATCTTCTTTTTAGTCATCAATGCAGACGATCACGGGTTCGTTTTCCTTGACTTTCGTGTGGAACAGATTTCCATACAGAGAAGTTTTATCATCTCAAATGTAAAATATGAAGGTTTTTGTTTAGTTTTGGATTCATAACTGGGTGTTTTGTTTGGTCAGCAAATTGCTGTTTTAGAGTCCATATACTCCAGTTAATGATTAATCGATTATTAAATTAGCTGATGATTATTTAAATGATCGATTAATCGTTCCAGCCCTACATTTGTTTATGTTTTCTGAGTTTTTGGTTTGATTTCTTTAGAAAGCTGCACCAGAGCGCCACACAGTGGACGTTAAGCAGCGTACCTCAGGGCCGATGGCTCAGACTCTTTGTGTTTCTGATGTATCTGTTTGGATAGATTAATCGGATTAATCGTCTCAGTCCTCTCAGCCTCCATGGCGGCTCAAACCTTTAAACTTCCAGAGTGAGACCTGTAGAAAGGAGAACCTGAGGCCAGGCTCCACTTCTCTGACCTGCTGAAGCTCCTGAGGAGGTGAACGTGTCGCCTGGACCTGTAAGCGACGGCGGATCCTCTCTAAATAAAATCAGCCACATCAAACGGAGAAGAAAACAGGTGAAATGCTTTCTGAGCCGCTCACATCCTCACACACTCCGTTTGAAGGACATCCTCCTGCTTTAATGCTTTCTGCCACATCAAAACCTTCTTGAAGGTCTCATTTCCAACCCAAAGTACAAAGTTTTCCCTGAAGGTGACCTTGAATTTTCTTCTGTCGCTGATTCAGAGTCTGCAGAAGTAAGAAGAAATATCTTTATTATTTATGCCTTTTTAAAAGTTCCTGATGAAAAGCTGCTGCTTTGGTTTTCTGCATTTTTACATTTAAAAGCCAGCCTTGCTGGTGCGACAGGAAGTGACAGGTTACCATGGTTACCATGGTTACCATAAGGGCGAGAGGTCGGAGGGAAGTTGGGACGGTAAATGACGAGTTTCGTCTGATCCGTTTCTGATTTTCATGAAATTAAACCAAAATCACAGGAAGTTTCAACCAGTTCAGATAAACCAGTAAAACCAGTTCAGATAAACCAGTATACCAGATAAACCAGTAAAACCAGTTCAGATAAACCAGTAAAACCAGTTCACATAAACCAGTTCAGATAAACCAGTAAAACCATTTCAGATAAACCAGTTCAGATAAACCAGTTCAGATAAACCAGTAAAACCAGTTCAGATAAACCAGTTAAACCAGTTCAGATACACCAGTAAAACCAGATAAACCAGTTCAGATAAACCAGTAAAACCAGTTCAGATAAACCAGTTCAGATAAACCAGTAAAACCAGATAAACCAGTTCAGATAAACCAGTAAAACCAGTTCAGATAAACCAGTTCAGATAAACCAGTAAAACCAGTAAAACCATTTCAGATAAACCAGTAAAACCAGTTCAGATAAACCAGTAAAACCATTAAAACCATTTCAGATAAACCAGTAAAACCAGTTCAGATAAACCAGTTCAGATAAA